GAGAGAAAATATGAGCAAAAAACGATGAAAGGGTTCTAAAGAATTATTTAAGAGTAGGTAAAAAAATGTTTCGGTTCATTAAGTCGTATACATTTCTTACCATTACCACAATTGCAACTCGTCAGTACGACGATTGTGATAATAAAGATAGTTTAGTAAGGTGTAAGAATTAATTCAGATAAAAAAGCGATGCAGATCGGAAGAAATGAAAAATTTACCATTCCATTGGTAGCCAGATATTCCAGAGATTCGCTGACTGGTTTCGCTTTCTTTCGTGGACTTCCTTTGCCTTTCGTACCTGTATCATGAGCCAGTTACGATGAATCAGAGTATTTTCGAACTCCTCAAATCTTTTACTTTCCTTTTTAGTTCGAAAGATTCAGGCTTGCGCTTCAAAAACCTACTTGAATCATCCGTTCTTTTGGTTTTCGTTTCCTTCTTTTTCTTTTCCTCTGGATTATAATCATCAGGAAGCGTAGCAGTTCGATAGCTGTCTAACTCTTTTTCCACTCTTTTCCGGAATGCATCATGTACAAAGTATGGCTCTAAAAGCTTTTTTTTAAATGATTTTTTTTAAACTTTTTATCATGATTTTTTTTCACAGTTATTCATTAAAACAGTAACAGCTAACAAGGTTTAATCAATGCTAAAATTTGACGAAAATTTAAAAAAAAATAAAAAACGAACGGATCTGATCTTTCACTTCTGGCATTTCTGCGTAATCCAGTGCCAACGCCTCGATCACTTTATAGTGTTTTTGTAGAACTGCAACAATACTGCTAAACGTAAAACCGCTAAAATACCAAAAAAAAAACAAAAATAACGCGTTATGAAACTTTAAATTAAAGTGGAAGATTAAAAAAAAAATCTCATGCAACATACCAGGATTGCAAAATTTTTCTGGAAAATAGCTGGCAGTTAGCTTTTTCACAAAACCTCGGGCCGCTTCAATTTGTTCTTTGGATGCTGAAAAAAAAAACAAATTTAAGTCGATTCAGGCGAAATAAACGATTAACTGTATTATGTAAATTTAGATTTTTCTTATGATGCTTGTGTGCAATTACAATAATGTTGCGTGGTTCATCTAACGGCACATAAAAGAAAAAAAATCCAGAAAGCACCCTTTTTACAAAAGGGAAAATTCGTCACAGCAAAAGAAAAGGGGAAAAATTTGCCTCAATTTAATCACAGATTTACCACAATCTAAAATTTACCTCAATAACTTATCTAGGACAGAATCCTGAGGGGCAGGAGAGGAAGCGATGGACGGGGGAGGATGGGGGTGAGGTGGGAGGGAGAATGGGGCTTTTGGGAAGGGGGAGCAACGGGAGATGGGGAGAGGAGTCCCCTCCCACTTTGGAACTATGCAAAAACTAGGAATAGAGTTGTAACACTGCCACTTAGAGTTACTTTTTCAGCTTT